CACTTTGGGAGGCCAAGGTAGGTGGATCACTTGAGCTCAGGAGTTTGAGACCAGCCTGTGCAACATGGTGAAACCCTGTATCTACAAAAAATAGAAAAATTAACCAGGCATGGTGGTGTGCACCTGTAGTCCAAGCTACTCAGGAGTCTGAGGTGGGAGAGTCACTTGAGCCTGGGAGGCAGAGATTGCAGTGAGTGGAAGTTGCAGTGAGCACAAATCACACCATTGCCTGGGCAATAGGCATGGTGATAGGCATGAAATCTTGCCTCAAAAAAAAAAAAATGATGACAGTGGACTTTTCTTGTCTTGTTCCTGGTCTTATGGAGAAAGCATTCAGTGTTTCACCATTAAATATGATGTTAGCTGTGGGTTTTTTTGTAGATACCATTTATTAGGCTGAGGAAGCTCCCATCTATTTCTAGTTGAGTGGTTTCTTTTTTAAATCATAAAATGGTTTCAGAATTTGTCAAATGCTTTTTCTGCATCTAATGAGATGATTGTGTAATTTTTGTTTTTTATGATTTGATGTAATATATTACATTAATTTATTTTCAGATGTTGAACCAGCCCTGCATTCCCAGGATAAATCTTGCTTGGTCATAGTTTATGATTCTTTTCATATACACCCATGAATTGCTTAATGACAGGGATATGTTCTGATAAAAGCATTGCTACATCATTTTATTCATTGTGTGAACATCATAGAGTGTATTTGGACAAACCTAGATAGCCTGCTACATACCTAAGCTGTACGGGATAGCATATTGCTTCTGGGCTACAAACCTATACAGCATATTACTATACTGAATACTGTAGGCAATTGTAACAGAAATGGTATTTGTGTATCTGAACATTTCTAAGCATAAAGTCACAGTAAAAACAGTATAAAAGACAAACAGTAATACACCTGTATAGGACACTTACCATGAATAGAACTTGCAAGACTCGAAGTTGCTCTGGGTGTCAGTGAGTGAGTGGTGAGTGAATGTGAAGGCTTAGGACATTACTGTACACTACACTAGACTTTATAAACACTGTACACTTAACCTACATTTGTTTTTAAATTTTTCTTTCTTCAATAATCAATTAAATTTTGCTTGCTATAACATTTTCACTTTCTAAACCTTTAAAAAAGTTTTAAATTTTTGATTCTCTTATAATAACACCTAACTTAAAACACAAACACATTATACAACTGCACAAAAAGATTTCTTTATTTACATCTTCATTCTATAATTATTTTTCTATTCTTAATTTCTTTTTTACCTTTAATTTTTTCTGAGAAATGAAGACACAAACACACACATTAGCTTAGGCCTATCTGGAGTCAGGATCATCAATGTCACTGCTTTCCACCTCCATATCTTGTCCCACTGGAAGGTCTTTGGGGGCAATAACATGCATGGAGCTGTGATTTCTTATGAAATGACATAGACAGAATAGAAATACATTTTTTAATATTTTATGGAAAAATAAGATATTCAAAGCTTGAGAAAGAAATGAAAAACCTCCTGAGGGACCTGCCTGAGGCTGTTTTATGGTTAATATTATGTATATATATATATATATATATATATATACACATATATAAAATTATATATGTATATATATACACATATATAAAATTATATATGTATATATATATATAAATGTAGAAGGAATACCGTTTAAAATAATGATAAAAGTATAATATAGTAAATCCTAGGAAATAGGAATTTTTCAGCTCTATAATCTTAATACATGAGCAGATATTAATAAAACTTAAAAGAAAAATGCAGCAGATAATTTTGATAAACTCAAAAACTGTTTTTTAAAAGGCTAATGAAATTGACCAACTTCTGGCAGGATTGATTTCTTTTTAATAGAGAGTTTTTTGAAGAAAATGTTTTCACAATTCATCTCATGAGGTTAGTGAGGATAGTCTAGAAAATACCGAAACAAAGCTTAGAGAAAACAAAAAGAAGTATGCTTGTTCTGGTCTAGCCTCCCAGCGGGGGGAAAAAAAAGTATCTCATGGGCCTATGCTTACACAATTATAGGTATGAAATTTAAGCTTTCTGCAGGACCTTCCTATATTACAAACACACATAAAAAACAGTTCCAGGATGGTGATATTCTTGGAGCATCTGACAGACACAAAAGAAAAATCAATTTGGAAAGACATACCTTTAATCTAGATTGCATAAGTTTCCTACAGATAAAGTTATTTAAACATGAGCTCACAATGAAAACTCACAAAATATGTGAAAAAACTTTTTTTTGCTTCATGAGATCAGCAGACACAATGAAATAATTTGATGTTCAAGAACATCAGATAATAAAACTATAAGAAATGATGTATGAATAATTAAAATGATTAAAATGTAAAAAAAGCAGAAAAAATAATGCACTATCTAAAAAGAATCAAATATCATCTAACGACAGAGCCCCAAATACATGAAGTAAAAACTGACAGAATTGAAAAGGCAAACAATTCAAGAATAATAGTTCGAGACTTCAGTGACAGGGTTTCAATAATGGATTGAACAAGTAGGCAGAGGATCAACAAGTAAATAGAAGACTTGAGCAATGCTATACATCAACTAGACCTAACAGACATTAATAGAACATTCTATCCAGTAAGAGCAGAATAGACACTCTTCTCAAGTACACATGGAGCACTCTACAGGATAAACCATGAGTTAGACCATAATACAAGTTTCATTAAATTTAAAAGAACAGAAACTATGCAAAGTGTGTTCTTCATAATGCAATAAAATTAAAAAATAATTACATAAGGAATTTGTTTTAAATACAAATATGTGGAAATCAAACAACACAGACCTAAATAACCAATAAGTGAATAAAGAAATCACAAGGGAAATTATAAAATATCTTGAGATAAATTAAAGCAAAAAAAATACCAAAACTTTGAAGATTCTGCTAATGTGCAGAAGGAAGTTTAAAATTGTAAATGCTTATATTAAAAAAGACGAAAGATATGAAATCAATAACCTAAATTCGACTATAAGAAACCACAAAAGGAGAAGTAAATTAAACACAAAGCAAACAGAGTGTGTTAGCTCATTCTTGCATTGCTATAAAGGAATGCCCATGGCTGAGTAATTTATAAAGAAAAGAGGTTTAATTGGCTCACAGTTCGGTAGGCTGTACAAGCAGACAACAATATCTGCTCAGCTTCTGGTGAAGGCCTCAGGAAACTTACAATCATGGCAGAAGGTGAAAAGCAGCAGATGTATCATATGGCAAGAGTGGGAGCAAGAAAGGCAGGGAAGGTGCTGCACATTTTTAAACAACAAAATCTCATGTGAACTCACTCATCACTAAGAGGATGTCCCTAAGCCATTTATGAAGAATCTGCCCCCATGTTCCAAACATCTTCCACCGGCCCACACTTCCAACACTGGGATTACATTTCAACATGAGATTTGAAGGGGACAAATATCCAAACCATATCATTAGAAAATAATTAAGATTAGAGTAGAAATCAATAAAATCAAGAATAGAGAAAATCAATGAAACCAAAAGATGGTTTTTAGAAACAATCAACAATATTGACAAACCTTTAGCTAGACTAAGCAAGAAAAATGAGAATAGACTCGATTACTCAAATCAAGAATGAAAGAGAAAAAATGACAACCAATCATACAGAAATTTTAAAAATACATGGTATTGCTATTAATGACTCTAACAAAATAGATAACTTGGATGAAATTGACAACTTACTAGAAAGGCATAAACAACTAAAACTGACCTAATAAGAAATAGATAATCTGAATAGACCTATAACAAGGGAAAAGAATGAAATAATTTGAAAACTAGCCACAAGGAATACCTAGTACTACATGTCTTCAAAGATAAATTTAACCTAACACTTAATGAACAATTAGTATCAATTCTTCAAATATGCTTCCAAAAAACAAAAGAATAGAGTACAATTCTCAACTCATTCTACAAGACCAATACTACCCTGGTACCAAAACCAGACAAATAAATAACGTAAAGAAAACTACAGACAAATATCCTTTAGAAATGTACAAGAAAGAAACCCTCAGCAAAATACTAGCAAACTGAATCTCGCCATATATACAAAGGATTACACATCATAAGCAAGTGGAAATTATCCCGGGACTGCAAGTTTGGGTCAACTTATTAAAATCAATCAATATAAAATAGCACATTAATAGAATAAAGAAAAAACACATAACCAACAAGCACATTAAAAAGATGCTTTACATTATTAGTCATCAAGAAAATGCAAATCATAACTACAATGAGACACAACTTCATATCCATTAAAATGGCCAGAATAAAAAAAGTCACATACTAACAAATGTTGGGGAGGATATATACAAATCAAAACGTTTAGGCATTTTAAGTGGGAATGCAAAATGGTGCAGCACTTGAGAAAACAGTTTGGCAGGTTTGCAAATTGTCAACCATAGACTTACCATATGATTCAGCAATTTCACTCCTAGGTATTTGCCCAAGGGAAATGAAAACATGCACACAAAAAAGTGTGTACAGTGCTAACAGTGTTGTTCATATTAACTGTAAGGCAAAGCAACCCACATGTTTAGCAACTGATAAATGGATACATATCATGTGACATATTCATGTAAAGACGAAGTAGTTAGCAATTAAAAAGAACAACGTGCTGATACATACACTTTGGATGAACCTTGAAAACATGCTAACTGAAGAAGTCAGACAGAAAAATCACATACTGTCTGATTCCATTTATATTAAAATACCAGAAAAGGCAAATCTATAGAGACAGAAAGTAAATTCATGGTTGCCTAGGATTTAGGAAGGGAGCAAAATTGAGAATGACTGCTAATAGGTGGAGCTTTTTTTTTTTTTTTTTAGATTGTGGTGGTAGTTGCACAACTGTGTGAGTGTACTACAATCCACTGGATTGTATACCTTAAATAGGTTAATTTTATGGTATGTGAATTTGATATGGTTTGGATCTGCATCCCCACCCAATCTCATGTTGAGCTGTAATCCCCAACATTGGAGTTGGGGCCTGGTGGGGGGTGAAGAGATAATAGGGATAGACTTCTCCTGAATGGTTTAGCACCAACCCCCTTGATACTGTCCTCATGATACTGAGTTCTCATGAGATCTGGTTGCTTAAATGTGCGTAGCACTTCCCCCCTCACTCACTCTCTCTTGCTTCTGCTCCCACAAGGTGAGACAACTACGTCCCCTTCACCTTCTGTCATGATTGTAAGTTTCCAGAAGCCAAGCAGATGCCAGCATCATGTTTCCTGTACAACCTGTGGAGCTGTGAGCCAATTAAACCACTTTTGTTTATAAATTACCCAGTCACAGGTATTTCTTTACAGCAATGCAAGAACAGATGAATATAGAATTATATCCAATCCAAATAAAGATGTTTTAAAAAACAATCAACTATAATGAGGCATTGAAAAATAAAGAAATGGTGCTACAGGCTGAATTGTGCCCTCCTGTCCAAATTCATATGTGGACGTCCTAACACTAGTTCCACAGAATGTGTCTGTATTTGCAGGTGGGGTCTTTAAAAAGTCAATTAAAGTAAAATTAGGTCATATGGATGGGCACTAATCCAATATGACTGGTATCCTTATAAGAAGAGATTAGGACACAGACAACTCACAGACTGAAAGGTAACCATGTGAGGACACAGCAAGAAGACAGCCATTTGCAAGCCATGGAGAGAAGCCTCAGAAGCCACACCTGCCAATGCCTTGACCTTGAACTTCCAGCCTCCAGAACTGTAAGAAAATAAAATCCTGTTGTTTAAGCTCCACAGTGTGTGGTTTTGTTAACCCTAACAAATTAATACAGATGGAAAACATGAAAGAGAAATAGGAACATAGATCAAAGGGTCTAACATACATCTGATAAGAGCTCCAGAAGAAAGTAGAAAGAGTAGAGAACAAGCAATACATGGATATAAAGAACTATCTGAATTGATCAAAGTAATGAACATTCAGATACAGAAACTGGACAAAGACATTGCAAAAAAGAGAAAATAAGAACTACAGATTAATATCTCTTACGTCAATAAATGAAAAAAGGCATCTTTTTGGAAATTCAATATCCATTCCTGCTAAAAGCTCTCCTCAAACTAGAAATATATAACTTCTTTAACCTGATCAAAGACAGCTATAAAAAGCATAGTTAACATCAGACTTAATGTTAAATAAAGACTGAATGCTTTCTCTCTAAATTGGGAAAAAAGCAAAGATATACACTCTCAGTACTTCTACTTAACATTGTACAAAAAGTCCTACCCAGTGCAATGAGTCAAGAAAAAAATAAAATATATACCAGTTGGAAAAGGGGAAATAAAACAATTCCTATTGACAGGTTACTTCATTGGATATGTAGAAAATTCCATTAATTTTGGATATTTGAATTTTGAAATAAATCTAAACAAAGTATGTAAGGCTTAATAATTTTTTAAATGAAAATTTTATCAAGTATCTTCTCAGACTATAGCAGAATAAAACTAGAAATAAATTCCAAGAGGTACTCTTGAAACTATACAAATATGTGGAAATTAAACAACATATTCCTGAGCAATACTTTACATAAAAGTAGCAGATAATAATAACTCTCCAAACAATGTAAATCTGTCTTTATTACATACCCCAAGCAAATAAAATTAAGACAAAAATTTAAAACTTTTTTGAAATTAATGAAAATGGAAACATAACATACCCAAACCTCTGGGATACAGCAAAAGCAGTGCTCAAATGGGAGTTTATAATATTAAATGCCCACATCAGAAGTCTAGAAAGACCACAATTAACAACCTGATGTTGTACCTCAAGAAACCAGAAAAACAAAAACAAGCCAAGCACAAAGCTAGCAGAAGAAAAGAAAAAGATCAGAGCAGAACTAAATGAAATTGAGAACAAAAGAACCATATAAAGAATCAATGAAACATGAAGTTTTATTATTTGAGAAGATAAACAAAATTAAGAGGCCACTAGTTGAACTAACCAAGAAAAGAAGAGAGACGGCCCAAACAAACATAATCAGAAGTGAAATGGCAGACGTTACTGCTGATACCACAGAAAAACAAAAGATCATCAAAGACTACTATAAATAACTATAAGTCCAGAAACTAGAACACCTAGAGAAAATTGATGCATTCCTGGAAATAGATAATCTCTCAAGATGGAACCAGGAAGAAAGATAAATCCTGTAATGACCAATAACAAGTAGTGAGATTCAATCCGTAAAAACAAAACAAAACAAAAAATCTCCTAATAAAAAAACCCTGGAAAAAATGGACTCACAGCTGACTTCTACCAAATGTACAAAGAAGAGCTGGTACCAATCCTTCTGAAGCTCTTCCAAAGAAAACAGAGCAGAAGGAAATTCCTTTAACACATTCTACAAAGCCTGTATCACCTTGATAATAAAGCCAGACAAGGACACAAGAAAAGAAAATTGCAGACCAGTATTCCTGATGAATTTAGATGCAAAAATTATTAACAAAATACTAGCAAACTAAATCAAACAGCACGTCAATTTAAAAAATATACCTCAATCAAGTAGGTTGATTCATTATACACAAATCAATAAACGTGATTCACTACATAAACAGAATTAAAAACAAAACCATATAATTATCTCAACAGGTGCAGAGAAAAAGGATTCAATAAGATTCAGCATCCGTTCATGATTTTAAAAAACAACCTTCAATAAGCTAGGCATAGAAGGAACATACCTCAAAATAATAAAATGCATGTATGACAAACCCACAACCAACATCATACTAAAAAGGAAAAAGAACATGTTCACCCTAAGAACTGAAACAAGACAGAATTCCCATGTTCACCCCCCTCTCCCCCTTTCAACATAGTACTGGAAGTCCTGGCCAGAGCAATCAGGCAAGGGGCAGAAATTTAAAAAGAGGAAGTCAAATCTCTTTTTATTGGTGATGTAATCTTATGCCTAGAAAACCCTAAAGACCCCTCCAAAACATTCCTGGATTTGATAAATAAATTTAGCAGATTTTCAGGATACAAAATCAACATTTCTATACACCAATAATGATCAAGCTGACAACCATATCAAGTAGTCAATCCCATTTACAGTATCTATTGTAAAGATACCTAGGAATATATTTAACCAAGAAATTTAAAGATCTTTACAAGGAAAACAACAAAACACAAATGAAAGAAATTGTAGATGATACAAACAAATGGAAAAACATCCCATTCTTATGAATCAGAAGAATTAATATTGTTAAACTTACCATACTGTGGGGTCAATGTAATCCCTATCAAAATACCAACATCATTTTTCAGAGAATTAGGAAAAATAATTTTAAAGTTTATATGGATCTGAAAAAGAGCCTGAATCACCAAAGCAATTCTAAGCAAAAAGAACAAAGTTCAGGCGTCACATTAGCTGACTTAATTGTACTGCAAGCCATACTAACCAAAATAGCATGGAACTGGCATTAAAATAGACACATAGATCAGTGGGAAAGAACAGAGGACCCAGAAATAAAGCCACACCCTTACAACCAACTGATCTTTGCAAAGTCAATAAAACATACACTGGGGAAGAGAGAACCTACTCAATAAATGGAACTGGGAAATTTTTGCTGCCACATGCAGAAGAATGGAACTGGACCCCTTATCTCCCACCATATACAAAAGTTAACTTAATGACTTAAATGTAAGACCTGAAACTAGAGAAATCCTAGAAGAAAAACTAGGGAAACTTTTCCTGGACTTTGCTAAGCAGAGAATTTATGACTAAGACCTCAGACAACAAAAGCTAAAATAGACAAATGGGATTTAATTAAACTAAAAAGCAAAAGAAATAATCAACAGCATGAACAAACAACATGCAAAGAGGCCCTTCTGTTCCTTCCCATTGGACCGAATATCTCATTCCCTTAGGGTTGTTTCACAGTGCACTACTGGTGGACAGGTACCAATTAAAGTCTCATGACTTGCCTAGACTAAAAAATATTCTACTAGGCTGGATGTGGTGGTTCATGTCTATAATCCTACCACTTTGAAAGGCCAAGGTGGGAGGACTGTTTAAGCCCAGGAGTTCAAGACCAGCCTAGGAAATATAGGGAGACTCTATCACTAAAAAAAAAAAAAAAAAAAAAAAAAAAAAAAAAAAAAA